TACAAATAAATGTCTACTCTTACTAAGATTGTGCTACTGTCGATCTTAGTCAGACTGATTAGTTTTTTATTACTGCTCCTGACTAATCCACTGCTCATCAGCTCATTTGACCACTCAGCCCAATCAAACACCACCATCATCATCAACAGCAGTCACTCATCAGATGGGACACCCTCCACTTCCTCACCACCAACACCAGAACAGCAGAGTAGGACTGGGCCTTCGACACTGGGATCACCAGCTTACTCAGCCACTACTCCATCATCACCACCAGCCTACTAGCAGCCACTGCCAGCATCCTCTCCACCCTCATCCTCTACCAACTCACCCTCAAGCTCTCCTCTCACTCAACCTCCTACTCAGCCCTAGTCGGCCTCCTCCACCTCTTCTCCCCCTCCCCTAGCACCCAGGTCGTCCCCTACACCGAACCATTCTACGCCCTCTTCTCATTCGCCGCAATCTATCTGATCGAGGCAAAACATCACTGGCCTGCTGCTATCCTCGCCGGAATCGCCACCTCATTCAGACCGATCGGGGTCATCCAGTGCTTACTATGGATCCCTCAATGGACCAACCATCTCAAACAGCTCATCAACAACCCAAAACAATCATCCGCTCTCATTCGATTCATCTCCACTAGCCTCAAGACTCTCCTCTTAGCACTCATCACCTCTGCCCCATTCATCTACGACCAATACTCGGCCTACAAACACTACTGTTATCAATCTTCTTCACCCAGGCCGTGGTGTTCCAATCGAATCCCGAGTATCTACACCTTCGTCCAATCTCATTATTGGTAAGCAACCCCCTATCTATCCTCAAAAATCATAATTCAAAACATTAATGATTGGTTGTTTTTTTGATCAGGAATAATGGGTTCTTGAACTATTGGACCTTCAATCAACTCCCGCTCTTCATCATCTCCTTCCCCATCTACTGGGCCTCATTCGCCGGGATCTGGAACTACTACGGCTCCACTCGATTCACGACTCCTAAAACCCACCAATCCAAGCCAGACGAAGCAAGATCGATTATCAAGCAATCCGGATACAGACCATTCCTCGATCCCCGGCTCCAGATCCACATCCTCATCCAACTGCTCCTCACCTCGCTCTTACTCTTCAACTCACACGTCCAGATCATCCTCAGACAGATCGCAACCATCCCGGCCTTCTGGTGGGGTCTGGCTGATGGAATCTCCCGCCATTGGAATCAGCAACAGTCTTCAAATCAACACAACAGTCATCGTATCGCTCGTTCTTACTGGGCTTGGTGGTTCCCTTGGATCGTCGTTTGGGCTCCGATCAGCTTGGTGCTTTGGGCTGGCTTCTATCCTCCCGCTTGATAATCCCCTCACACTGCTACTATCTTTCTCCCCTTTAAATTTGTACTGCAGATAATTAAAAGCATCTTGTGGGTTTTCTTAATAAAAAAACCCCCCGATCAAAAATCAAGAAGATTTCTTAAATTACACAGGTGTGAGAGGAGAAAAGTAGAGAGACAAGAGCCTTAAGTGACAAGTTTCAATTTTTGGAAGAAGAAGAGGGAGGAGGAAGTTTTGAAGAAGAAGAAGTAGAGGATCTGATGCGATGAAATTTGGGTAAAGTTTCGGCAAGATAGAGGAGATGTTTAGCGTGGAGGCCGATGGCCTGTCCGATGCCTTCACCAGACCAAGTAGACTGGACCGAGCTAGCGCCATAGATGACAGTGAAATCCGGAAGGGTACGAATGACGAGAGAGTCGAGCAGACGAGATCGCCGCTGCCTTTCATCATCATCCTCATCCTCCTCCGCATTCGGGTCGCGAGCGTTCTCGAACCAGTGCAGATCCGGCTCACTCACCACCGTCGTCCCCGCCCCGATCACACTGTCCGAGCCCACCTGAACCTCCGGACTCACCCGGCTCTTCGCCTCAAACACGTTCCGCGAACCTATCGAAATCGCTTCTACTCTGCTTCCAACTGAGAATAGGTTGTTCGACCCAATCTTCATCACCGTCTTTCTTCTACATAAAAAAACCCCGTTTATCAGAATCGTGTTTTTCTTGGGGGGGGGGGGGGGATGAATTGCACGGACCGGTTGCAGATCACCGATTGTTCTTCGACTATACATCCCGACTCGAAAATTATTGGACCCAGCGCAACGATCGTACATGACGGATGAATGATACAATCTAGAATGAACCAAAAAAAAAAAAAAAACATTTTTAGGATTCCAGATCTATGAAGATTTGTATCCAAGAAGATAGGCGGAGAGATGGGGAAGAAAGAGGGGATGGGGATGGGCAGACACACTGGGCCCGATCGTCACTTCGCCTACTAGGTCGACATCTTGTGCTACAACTGCCTGTTTTTTTTTTTTTGGGGGGGGGGGGGCATTAAGAGAGATCGTTAGAAAGAGTGGCAAACAGACAGAAAATGCGGGTATTTCGAGTCGGCGTCTCACGCACAGTGGGATGGAAATTGAAAATATTCTCGATCTTTCTATTCCAATCTTCCAAAAATTAAATAAAAAAATCAAACAAAACAAAACATTAAGATAACAAACAACATCTTGAGTCAGTAAAGAAGGACATACATTCAAGCGCTCCAGGATCTGTGTTTGATATTCAATCGAGGATAAGAAAAGAGAGAGAGAGCGAAATTGAATTGGCCATGAACTCACGGCATGGTACTCCACTCTTACATACAAGCGACCACCACCCCTCGAAGCCGCGACGCCAAGAACAGGTCGCAGTTTTGGCCCGCGTCGTTCGTTTCTCGATGTTGTTCGTGCTTTCTTTTTAAACTGTTTGTTCTTCCGTTCAATCGTTTCAGTTTCAAAGAGAGAGGGGAAGGGGTTCTTCGGACGATGTGGGGCCTGTGGTCTGATCAGTGAGGAAGGAGCCGAATATTGAGATGATTGTCAAGTGCGGATCTTTAATCAGCTTCGATGAAATGAAAATTGTCGAGAGATTTGTGAAACATGACCTGTCACAGACACCCTCCCTACATATCAAGAGAAGTGTCACGGACTAACCACTGAATCTCAGAAACATTTGGAGAGGCTGAAAGCTTGGTGGAAATTCTGTGGGGATATAATCCAGGAACTTGCTTGCAGTCTTGTTTGGAAAATTCAAACAGTTTCTCCATTTTTATGCACATATTTATCACACCTTCTTCTTCTTTTTGCTTGTTCTTGACAAAGACAAACTTAGAGGCCATCAAAGTGATCCAAATCGTCTCCCTTCTTCAAGTGTAGAGTTAACCAATGACCAAAATCTTCCAGCCTGCAATCCCTAGATCCCTGTTTTATGATAGGGGAAGGGGTAGTAAGTAATATAAATTCAAAAAGTTCCCTTGGGTTGGTGTTGGTTAAACCACCAACCATCTGACACTTATTGGTCAGACATTGTGGGATTATGTATGTGCTTCATTTCCAAAGCATCCAAAAAAGGCTCTTGTCTTTTATTCTTTTTTCCTTTCAAGATACAATAACCAGGGAGGTAAAAAAGAAGACAAGGACAATTATTATAGCCATGTATCTTGGCTGTAATTTTTATTTTTTAACATATATGTCCCCACAAAAAAGATGTAGATGGGGCTACAAAAAGTGATGTAGAAAAAGAGAACTCATGTTGAATTGGGCTCCAGATGTGTTTTTCCTGGCATGCAAACTTTCACCACTGATCAGGAAGTTGAAGGATCAACAATTAGGGAAGACCCTGATCAACTAGTCCATGAAAGCACCTCAGCATTCCAACCTTGGATCCTTCATGGAGCAGGCATGTTGTGATCCCTTGGGCATCAAGGCCTGTCTTCTGGTTTGTGTTTCTTGGATCTTTGTCCCATTTTCTTTTCCACAAATTTTGCCCTAGAATAATTGAAAAAAAAGAGGAGGGTCAGGGAAAAATAAAAAGAACATCATCTGATTAATTTGGGTGGAAGCCCAGCCAGATTCTAGCAGTAGCAGGGTGTCCCCCCCCCCCAACACACACACACCAAAATCACTAATCTTTGAGAAGTTTTTGATTAGCACCCATCAGGATACTGGACCTCCCAAGCCCTGATCATCTGGTCCACAGGTACAGTTTTGAAACCCACTACCAATCAAATATTGAACTTAAAATTAGTTTTTTTTTGCCACTGATTATAAAACTACAAACACTCATCATTTCATCAAAATTTACAAAGTTGTTCTAACAAAATCAAAAACACTCCAAACATGGCCCATTACAAATTGACTTCCAGACTGATATTGTCAAAAGGCAAATTCTTTCAGTGCTTTCTTTACAAGATGGGAGCAATCTGAAAAAACCCACATAAGGCAGCAATATAAAACAAAGGTCCAATTATTTGCAATGGTTCCCTCACAACATTCTATATTGAAGGTAAAAAACACCCATGCCAAGTTATACACCTGCCGGACAATCAAATCAACCAAGTCAAATTTACCCCTTTCCTCATCAAGGTCAGATAACCCTCTTCACACATGTCAACCTCTCAACCAACTTTCATAGAAGCTCTTGCCTTATGGCTGGCATGTGCCTCAACCTCCAAGAGTGCTTTATGACTGGTGTGTGTACCAGCCTTCAAGAAGGAGGCTGACACTGAGTAAGTAAGACGTGTGTCTCCGTAACCAATTTCCATCTAGGAAGCAATTGATGTTCCCTGCACCATGGTTGGTACATGTAGCTGCCAGGGAACACTGCCCTTGCTCAGTTGAATATTGACCCAAGAAATGAATATGAGACTCAAGTGTGGGCTATCCCAGCGGAATATTGAACCAAGGAACGGATGTGTCACTCAAGTGTGAGTTATTTCAATTTGAGTCAATTTGTTTTGCTGATCACCAAGGTTTGGAAGAAACTGCACCAAACCTTTGATCTTCAAAGCAGCCCGCATGTTACCCGTCATAAGCCCCCTGAAACACGGCAAAGGAAGCAGGAGAAGAGTCTTCTTTGAGCTGAGACCGAAATCTACATTGCTGACCGGAATCCTGGATTGATTCAATTGGATGATATTGATATGAGCGCGTCAAGGAAGCAGCACTGTATGTACCGTATCTTCGATTGCCTTTGGTATGATCGAGCACCCATCCATACTTAAAACGTCGCAAGGGCTTCCTTACCGAGATCTTGCCATCGCGACAGCCATTCATTCCAAGGATATTTGAATGGCTGCAACTTGGATTCAAGGGTGGAAACATTGCAAGTCGCAATATTATGGCAAGCTCACATTGAAAGCCGGATGTTATGAAGTAGTACACCGAGTCAAAATAGACGCATGTTCTGCTCCAGTAAACTATTCAGATGGATCCTCCACAAGCGCAACCAAGCTTGGGAAGCGCACCCGAAACGCAAAAAGCATCGACCACCGGCTACTGACGGGACACGGATAGTCTGAAGTTATAAATATATGCGCTTGTACCTCTGTAACTAGTCACAGCAAGCGTGGAGCCAACCTCCACTTACTGCATGTCTGCATCCTCAGACTGTTCACTTACGTATTTACGATTGGTAACCTCCAACGTGCCGCGTAGAGCATCTGACCTTGTGTTTGAAACATGGGATTTATACGACCCTAGGCACAGACGAGACTGTCTATGATGTCACTGGCTCATCAATAGCATTGGGCAGCGGTGTATGTATAATTGTTTACTGAAATTGTATTTAGGCGACAGACCACGGTCCACTTCTCTTGTGATGGTTGCCTACAACTGTAAACAACACCAACGCATTCAGCGATACGCCGAGATCGCGCGGCCTCCGAGATGCTTCTTCTGACCCTCTTCCGCTATTACTCTGTGTACTTCAACTTGAGAGCCACCGAGGTCTCGGCGGCTAATCTACCCGACCTGAAGTCTATCCTATGGGAGGACAGTACAGCCAATTCCGAAGAACCGCTGTCCCCGAGTCATGAGCTCCTCGCCGCGTTCGCGGAATCTCCGTTTACCAATATGCTTGATCCGATGGATTGGCATCGAACATGGAAGACGCATGTTCCATTGATTTCTTATTCCAGTCCGACACCGTCACAATCTTCAGCTTCGTCGTCTACTTCAATCTCAAGGTCAACTTTCTTGCAAGGCATGCCACAGAGTTGGCGAAAGGACGCGATGGAACCCACATACGACCAAGAGCCTCTATCTATCACGAATCCAACTGCAAGCTCACCAAGCCCATCACATAATAAGCGGCGCAAATATCCTCAAGAAGGACGTGTCCCCGATAATCTGAATTCGGGCCAATCGAGCTCATCGCAGGAGCAAAGTCCTAGAGGAAGGAAAGCCAAAAGCAATTTGATAAAGTCAAATAACTTGAGTTATATGCCCCAAAATGAGAACATTCAGGTCCACTCTGAGCTCCCAACACCCGTTATCGACAATAGCCCAGAGATCGAAATACTTACAGGTATATTGGGGAATGGTCATCATGAAGGTGAGTCTATCGCGCCAGCTTAGATGACAGTATGATTGCTGGGTCGGATCCAGTTTGATCTACCGATTGACTAAACTCATATCTCGACAGTGAGCCAGCCGCCAGTGGCCAACAGTGAACCAGATTTCGAGACGCTGCCCAGGAGACGATCTGTCATTAAACCACACCTTCCACCTGGTAATTATTTTTCATCGAGAGGCCAACTTCATCTGCAACTTCTTAGGGAATTCTGGGAAGCGTTTCGGACAAAAGTACGTTCGAAGCAATTTGATGTTAGTACCCATTGGACTCTGGCAAAGGGGGACGACCACCCAGATTTGCCCTTTGCGATGATCGGCCGTCCATTTGGGAGCGTAGGGAAAGTATTCAGAGTCCTGCGTGGCTCATCTGGTAACACTCAAGGAAGTACTGCTTTAGGTATACTTTACAAGTTTTTGATCGGATGGATATATTTCCAACACGAGGAGCTGTTAAATCGGAGCGATTTGGACATACCAGTGTTCGCATATAGGTTGCAGCAACAAAACCTGTTGAGCTGGTTAGAAAAAGAAATCTTTGAACCCGATAACAGTCTTCCAATCGTCGGGCTCGTCAACTCATATCCGCTCAGGTGGCAAGATGAAAAAATCGGACCTATCCAGACAATTTTAATAAGATATTTCTCCCAAGATGAAAGAGAGGAGGTCTCAGCACCCACCACTGCGACAGAAATTTTGAATGAGTTCTACGCACAGGGTCATAGGTGTTAGTTTATCCTTTCTTTCTTTCACTTAAACAGACCATTGATATTCTTATCTAATCGTGCCAAACCGTCTCAACGATCTATATGAAATGTCAATCCGTACAACGGCTTGACTTTTATCGACCAACTTGGAACCATGCTTAACCACGTCAGCAGTCGATCATCTGGCCGCAACTTACCGCTTAGGAGTTTCAACGAAGGTGACCACTAGTTTGGACTTCCAGGACATCGTGTCATTTTTGCTCTGCCTGATTGAAGAAGACGGTGACGCAAGAAACAGCTACTTTATGCCGGGAAGAATCAATCCTGTGAGTCTGAGTGGATCGGAAGTCCGGATTTTTTCGTGGTACGACTCAGTCTTTGAGGGACACTGTGACCGTGCCGGAATAGGGGACTACCGTTTAAAAAGTATGCATCCCAAATTACCGATGGCTATGTACTTTTTCAATAACAAATCAGCTTTCCCAGTCGTAAGAGTTTTGAGAAAATCAGAGAGATCACCATTGACAACAGTAGGATTGGTTCACATGTTCAAAAAACTCATCAAAGCGATAAATTACCTCCACATCGAAGTCCTGGAACGTTTGAAGATAGATGAATCGGAGTTTAGTTCAAGAGGAATAAATTTGTTCCAGTGGCTTTTCAAGAGTATCGCCCACCCTGATGGGAGCATTCCAGTGATTGGGATCATTAAAATTAAGAACAATCTCGCGCCTTGGGACGATATGACTGATGGGGTTCTAAGATCGTTTGGACAAGTTCAGTTAAAGCTGATCGAATATTTTTCGAACGATGACACCGAATTTAACTTGAAGGATGCAGCATCCTTCATCACGACTTCTTGGTTTCAGGATCATCTGCCAAAGGACTTCTTGAATCTTGCTCAAATTTCTATCAGACTCATGCCCACTTCATTTATCCTACCCTGTCTTGAAACTGAACTCAAATAAAAAGTACTGAACTCAAAATCGTGCCTCTTCAGAAGGCCAACTCATAATACATATTGTGAAGAAAGTTCAAATTAAATTTAAGTTTTTACCATGACTGTAATCAAATACTTATGTTGTGTTTAATGTACTATGTTTCATTTTATTTCCAAAGTACCAAGAAGTTTTGGATTTGATCCAAGTCTTATCTCTTAACCACCCATCCGTTTTCCTTTCCAAACATTGTCAAACAAGATACATACATGAGGAATAATCTGAAAGAATGCTATTGATGTTTGATGGCATTGTAGCTAGATAAGCTTTGTGCCACAATCCTCTAGTTTTTTTCGAGCAGACGTTGTTCTACTACATAGATCAAGAAGATCCAGAGCTATTGTTACAGTGGGCACTGTACAAATTAAACTCTCAAAGAGTTCAGTCAACTTGAGTTTTGCGCTTAATGTTTCAGCCAGATAAGGGATACTGACGAGGAAGATGGTGTGCTACTCTAGCAAAATCTTCGGTGTTTTACCCAAACCTGGTCGCTATTGGTTTTTGTTCAATTATAATGAACTCAACACAACTCTCAAATCAAACACTTAGCAAACTACTCATATGTCGGAAGGATGTCGATTGTTAATCTTATCTGTCTTGAGGGATATATTTTTGGCTGAGAAATGATGCTGTTGTGATTTTACAAGTGGATCCTTGAACATAGTTTGGAAACAATACCGGTGAGCAGCTTGTGAGAACAAAAGACAAGTATTGGTTAGATTGACTGCTTCGAGATCAAAAGAACTGGTCCAATGAAGCTCGATGTGCTTCTGTTGTCGTATCAAGTAACTTAATATTGTTCCTGGCGTTAAATTCAAGTTGAACTGGAAGTACAGTTTCTTGTGGGGCAATCAATTGCGGTTGACTTTGAAGCATCAAAAGAAACAATAAAATTACAAGATGAAAAGAAACTTTCTAGCGAAATATCGTATGATGATACATTGCTGTATTAGTCTTGAGGGATGAATGGCTGGGAAATATTGCGATTGGGATTATACATAAATACTGAGAATCACAGTTTGCAGAAAGGAGTGTCCTTGTTGATACACGAAGGAAATTTTGATTCGGTTAAATGCTTGGAAATTAAGGAAGCTAGCTCAAGGGGATTCTCTTGAGTAATTAAGTGACCAGAACGATCGATTTTGACAAAGCCAAATTTCTTTACAGCATCTTCCGGTACGACTGAGTCAGATTGATTGCCAAGTATTAATAAAAATCGAAACGGGAGATGATCATTACCAAGGGGCTGTTTTGTCATGCTTTCATCAAACAACTCTGAGAACCTGAAATATGATTCAGACGTGCGATTATGAGGCTGAACAAAAACCGATGCTTCATGTAATTTGTTGCACTTCAATTTTACCGGCTGTTCGAATTCCAAGGCATGTTCAAGATATCTTTTCAAGACTGATGGATCCCAACGACCGAAAAACCTATCATTTTTCTGGAATTTCTTCAAGGCCACCGCCCGGTTGTCCCATTGATCTTGTCGGGCCACGGTAGAACTAGCGATTTTGATTGTAACCCTAATCTCGTCATCATGCTTTGGTCTGACGACTGGTTCGACTAGAATGACATCTTGAAATAGTTCCGGAATTGAAGTGGCTGCGAACAAGGATGCACAGCCACCAACCGAGTGTCCAATGAGGCCGAGTCTTCGATGACGCCAACTGATCGGGCCACATGTATCCGATCGAGGTGACTGATCAAGCTGGAGGAGTTGTGAATTCGGGCATTCGAGACAGGGTAAAACCATGGGTAGACTTGGCCCAGATGAATGTTGATCGGGCAGGTAGGATAACACAAAGTTCAGTAAATCGCGAGCGTGGTCTGCCCAATCAACTGGATCAGACAAACAAAACACCGATAAGCAGGCTTTTCTGCATCTTCCAAACCACATCCTTGCTTCTCGGATTTTATTGGTTCCAAGCCTTCGGAACTTACAATTCAACCCAACAGTAGCACGATTTAGAACAGCACTGTCGCCTTGATTGACGCAATCAAGCGCCCAGAATTCTTTGATTTTTCGACCCCCGGGAGATAAGATTAGATGGGCCAGCATTGGCTCCCAAGTCTAAAGAAATTTATGTTATAAAAGTACATGAGTTCTGGTTCTGTGTACTGCGGAAACAGGTCCAAGACTTTACCTCCTTGTGGAATCCGTTCGCATGAGTTAGTACAAAGGTGATGGGGGCCTCTCCCTCATTTACATTATTTTTTTGATCTTCCCCTGATTGGGAATGGTTGTAATATCGAGCGGCTGCAATGAACAATTGAGGTTCGTCTATGGCCGTCCCCGACTCAATTCTCTTTTCGGCGTTTAGATTTCGATTTCTAATATCGTGTGCGATCGCAACAGGGTCCTGCGAGCGCGGATATTTGGGAAGGACAGCCTCATGAACGGCCGATCCGGAAATTGAACGAGGGTAGGCCGCAGGGAAGACGTGTATTGAACGAGTCCAAGAAGCAAGTCTAAGGTCCGAAGAGATATCTTGGAAAGGTTGATTCGCAGGTTTCCCAATCCGCGCTAGGGTCGCAGCGGGTGGTGCCGCTTGAACGGCCGGAGACAGCGGAAGTAGGCTGATGATGGTAGGTCGATGACTCTCCAACCGTTGGCTCATCATATCTGAGTTGAAGATCAATCCCTGTGACATGGGCCGGCTGTCCCGTCTTATGGCACCCGCCTCGGGGAGTTCAACCCGGGTCGCGAACTTGGCCCCGAATCCACGGTCAATTTTCTTGCATTGCCAAGTAGGAGGAGGCCCAATGGCTTCAAAGTGTAAATAAACAACAAACACCTTCCACTCCATGATTCAAGTATTCAGCTCTAGGTAGCACATTGGAGGAGTTGACATCAACCTACATCACCTCATTCAGATTGCTCAATTCTAGGTTCTCAATTTTGAGGGCCTTGACCATGGGATTGAACTTCGAAAACCAGGCAGGATTTTTTTCTATCTTAAGTTCTACACAAAAATGGAGATCTGTTGTTGATATTCTTGAATTTCTGGCTCAGGCTGGCCTCCTGGAGTGCTGTTCATGGTTGATTTTGATGCTATGAGAATTTGAGAAAGATAAATCATGAAAATTTGTGCTTGGGTGCCATGTGGTACATGCCCTAAAAGGCAACTTCAACACATGCAGTAAACCAGGTTGCTATGTCACATTCACCAACACCACTCCAACCACCAAAAGTACCATTCACCACAAGGCTATCTAAACTTCTACTTCCAAAGCTATTTTGTATAGGGGTGCTAACACTACAAACAATACTGATTTTGCCCCAAGGAAAAATGGCAATTTGGATGGTGGAAAATAGATCAATTTTCTGGCACTTTTTTTACAAGATGCCTCAGGAGTAAAAAATTAGGCTAAAATGAGCTATTTTGGCCAAAAAATACAAATGTCTCAAATCAGCTAAAATTCATTTTGGAATGTTTGATGAATTTCTATCTCTGGGCTAAAATAGCTCAGTTTAGCCTAATTTCTACTCCTGAGGCATTTTGGAAAAAAATTCCAGAAAATTGATCCATTTTCCCCCACCCAAATTGCCATTTATGTTTGGGGCAAAATGGGTATTGCTTGTAGTGTAAGATTGTTCTACAATTGGATCCCTATAACTCCCCAGCACTTGTGGCAGTTGTCAAAAACTTTGTGAAACTACATCTCAGTGACTTCCACTCCAAGAAACTCTTGCTCAACAGATAGAAATGGATGATGCTTTAACATAACAGTTCTGCTGTGCCTCCCAAGTCATTCCAAAATATTTTTTTAAATAAATACCTGCTATCTGTGAAATGGAACAAAACATAGAGTAAGAATTTTCATCAGAGTTTCTGGATCTCTTCTGGCAGCAGTGGTCCAATTTCAGTAAAGTAAATTAAATCCCAAACTCCAGTATCCCACTTCTTTTTTTAAACAAAAGGATGCTGCCTTATCACACATAGGCTGATGGGATCCAAAGAGAATGGGAAACATAGGTCCTATTGCATCATACTTGTTGGAGGTTGGAGTTGATTTTTTTCCCCTTTGTGTTTCTTTCAAAAGCATAATAACATAGTCATATACGCCAGCTCCACTCAGTCAACACCCACATACACCTCCTCATTTCTCTTCCATCCACATGTTGAATGTGCTCAGAGGTGATCATTACAACAGTCATCAGACACATGATAATCCATTATTTAAGATCTCATTTGATCGTGGATATCGATCATCGAGGGAGTGGCCTTGGCGATTTTCATGTTATATTCATCTGATGAGTGATCCAATAATATACGTATACCAATGATCATGATGTTCAACCATATCGACAGTCCTTGTTGAGTGCCATGAAGGAAGACGTCCAGAGGAGCTCAAGACGATCATCGAAGGTGACAAGGATTGGAATGATACCATTCTCGAGCTTGAAAGTTGCATCAAACGTGATATCTAGGAAGGAGATCGATTGGAATTGCGTTTGATGGGAATGGATGGTGCCAGGTGGACTTATTTGGACGAGGGCCACCAGACAGGTTTAATAGGCTGAATGGTCCAAGGAGAGAGATCCTGATCGACTGTGGAGAGGCTAATAGTTGGCCAGGGATGTTCTACCGAAGGGCTGAACGCGTCATGGTCGATTCGGAGCAGTGCCAGACCGTAGAGCAAAGAGCGAGGGCCGTCGCTAGAGTGATGGTTCACAGGGGATGTTGAGATAAAGGGCCCGCAGAGCTTTCCGATCGTTTTCTGCTTTTGGGCGGGGATTGTGGATGTGTTTGGAGGTTGTGAGCCGAGGCGTAACTCGTGGCCTTCGAGACGCTCGGTGAGTGGGCGATCGGCCATCTGGGTGTCCGAGATCGAGAGCCTATCCGGAACGCTAGCAAGCGCTGGAAGCCCGTCTTTCTCAATAGATACCGGCACCATTCGTTTTCGGATCACCCCTGTATGGTACGTCCTTGCTGTAAGCTCCTGGCCAACATAACATCCCTTCCTGAAATCAACTCCATGATGGTAATCCAGATTGGCTTCGAAGGGTAGTGTGACCGGATAGGGTGGCGATAAAGATGGGGGCAGCGAGGCATGTAAAAGGACGTGGAGTGCATAGGCTGATAAGGGAGCTTCGGGTAACTGGGCTAGAGCTACGTAGGGTATTTTTTTTCATCAACAACAAAAACACGATGAATGTTTCATGAAACCTGATCGAAATCTCAAACTTGGTTCTTTACATACGTTCGAGCTCCGGAACTGACTCCGGATTTCCAATGATCCGATAGCCCAGCCTCTGATCTCCCCGATGGTCCTTCCAAGCATGATTTGAGGGCTGTTCGAGGAGTGAAGAGTTGGGGAGAAGGGACTGAATGTTGTCGAGAGGGTGATTGGGCCAAACTGCCCAGAGCTCCCTGGAGTCCTTCGAGATTTTGACACGACTGTTGAGCACGAACCTGCGCAGCCAGGCCAGCAGTCGATCGGCTTCAGGGAGATGATGGTCGATCAACAAGCACTGTGCCTCATTCTCTGGGGGCTCGGGGTACACGAATCCGTCGAACTGAAGCCGACCGGGAGGAGTGAGGAAGGCCGTGTAGAACGCGGTGTTGTGGTGAGCCTCTTCTTGACTACTGAGCCTGTTGAGATTGTTTGTGATCAGTCCTTGGAGGAAAGTCTTGGATTTCTCGCCCTTCAAGCTAATCAGTCCCCGGTCAACCAGCCGAGTCCTCAGCCACTCTGTCGCCCTTGAGCTCGAATGGAACGAGTGAGAATGTCCTGAGAGGCCGACCGAGACCGATCGTGGGGTGGTGAGGATGACTGGTCGCATCGCTGTATTTTTCTCTAGCTCGTCTCCTTCTCGTCACCAGTCATCTACACGAGGAGATCTGGCCCTGGGTGGAAAATTTCTTCTGGTTTCGGTTGACTCTGGCCGCCTACTGATCAGAACATGACCACTACCCCTCGCGCCTCGCGCCGAACACAAAATTAGGAATGCTGATACACCCGGGGTAATAGGGGTAACCCCCCGGTGTGATCAGGACGAAGAAAGCAAAGGATCATCAGTTGACTCGGAACCAAAAAGTCACCCCTTTTTTGGTATGTAAATGGACTACTCGCGAATCTTCAACCAATCCACAGGCAACAAATCTCTCAATCCCATGCCTCCCCCTCCCATTCCCGATCCCCCTCCTCTACCAACCGGACAAGTTTCGCATGAACCACAAACCACGGATTCACCACTAAAAATACTCAGCGAGATAACGAAGTTCCTGAATGAAGCTCTCTCACCAAAGAACCCGGCTAGAATACTGAATGAAAACCAAATACAAGCTCTGTTAGATCAAACAATCAAACTGAAATCTGCTATGAATATCGAGTCGCATCTGGAAAAGATCACTGAACGACTAGAACGATTAGAACAACGACCTCTTACAGTTTCTCCTCCGACACCTTCGACCTGGCCCTCAGCGACCACTACCAACAATAAGAAAACAAACCCTACCATAAACAAGCAAGGGAAATGGACACCAATGATACCATCAAACGCACAAATAAACGAGTTCAAGAAATCTAGCCTAGTAATTTGCACTCCGCCTGGGTTCGTTGCACTAGATTCAGCGACAGCGACAGACATCACAACTAAGATTAATAAGATTTTAATTTCTATTGACGCCAAAATCGACTCACACCAAATTGAAATCGACGGCATTGCGCGACTTCCCTCTAAAGATTTGAAGATCTAAATGAGTTCGCGATCAAATGCACGGTGGCTGCTCAACAACAAACACAAGTGGACAGACTTGCTTTGCACCGAACTTAAAACTTTCCCCAACCGATATCCCGTTATCTTACATGCAATCCCGACTAACTTTAATCCAACAGATACTTCACACCTGCAAGAGCTAGGAACGCAAAACCGGATTGATCCAAACCTGATTGAATCAGCTCGATGGCTCGGAAACCCAATAGAGAAAGGAAAGAAGAACGGTTCACTGGTACTTCAACTGCTAGACAAAGACATTGCGCTGAAAATCGAACAGTCCGGCCTATTTTTACAAAACGAACTATATCGAGGTGCACATTACGAACGATCAATCCCACCATGCTTCAATTGTTGGAATCTTGGACACACTTCTCAATGGTGTAAAAAATTCTCCACTTTGTCACAAATGTCATGGCAATCACACATCTTCAGCTTGTGACCTATCAACACCTTCTTCCTCTACTTGCTGTGTCTGCATTTCTCATGACAAACTTGTATCAAAAAAAGCAGTTAACACATTAGATGAAAAATTCTCTCACTCCCCATGGTCTGATACTTGCCCACTAATGAAACAAGAAATCCAAAGCCGCAAGAGGAGGCGATGGAAACCATGATTTCTTTTTGTTGCAAATTTTAATTTCTTTCTCCCTCCTTTTCTTCTACCCGCTGGATTAATCACACTGTAGTCATCAAAACACTAGGCACTTATTAAGGGAGTTGGTCAACCGACTCCCAAAAATTGGAGAGTCGACTCCCAAACCCGGGTTTCCCCGAAATTTGGGAGTCAATTCCCCAAATCCATCCTTGGGTTTGGGAGTCGGTCCCCCCAAAAAATTTAAATAAAAAAAAAGAAAAACCCCGGAGGGGTTGGGTGTCGATGCCCCAAAACCAAGTGGTTTTGGGGGGTCGGTGATCAAAAAAAAAAAAAACCAGTGGCCGGGAGGATTCCTCCCGGCCGCGGAGAGTGCTCTCTCGACGGCCGAGAGAGTTTCTCTCAGCCGTCGAGGGTCTACAACCTCAACGGCCAAGAGGGTTTCTCTTGGCCGTTGAGTATAACCCTCAACGGCCGAGAGTTTCTCTCGGCGGT